ACATGCAAGACTAGTTTTGCTCTTTCAAGTAGGCACAGGAAGGTCACAGCTGGAGAGAGAAACTAAGTCAACTATGAACAACCAGCATTAGTAACAGCGTCATTTTAGAAGAACGCATTTGATGGCTTAGCAGCTGACAAAGGCAGAAATGCAACTTTTAAGTCACTCAGGAATTCCAGAGAGCTTGAAACACTTGGAATACTAAATGGCTGGGGTTATTCAGAGTGGTGAACTGATTTTTCTAGAAAGATGCCTGCACTTTTTCCTGTGCACAGAGATATTAAAAAGTAATATAAAGACACTGTCCTTCAAAGCTCAGGATAATGACTCCAGCATTACAAATCTTCCTTGGCCGTGAGCAAGAATCTCAAGGTCAAATTTGTTCCCTGGTATCCTACTTGGCAGGGATCTGCTTGTCTGCTTACCCACATGACTAGGGTATTGTAAATGATAGATAATCCTTTCATCTGCCATAGTTGCTGTCTTCTCCACTACAGGCTGTGGACTGCATATGAAAAAAAAAAAGTCATTGTTACAATAAAAACACTGAGACTGAAGCTAATTTAATTTCAAGTCAGTGCTCTTGCTTCTCTCAGATATCAGAACTTAGCTTAGTGATTGCACAGTGCTTTCCACAGAAATATAGGACCCAAGTTTTGAGTAAGGCTTAGTTTCAGTTTGAATTCCAGTCTGTGTTTTAGACATGATTGCATTCTGTCCTCTGTGACTAACACTGAAATCTTGTTTCCTATAGGATTGGAATGACTATGATGAAAAAACAAAGGAATCTGTTGGAATCTATGAAGTTACCCATAAATTTGTAAAATGCTGAAGTTCATACCCTGAATAAATCTTGACATGCTTATTGATGAAGGAGCTGTAACCATAAGAGACACAGTTTCCTTGGAGTTATTTTTCACATGGCTGTACTTCAGAAATGGAAACCCAAGTTGTACTTACTGTCCCCAGCATGCCCTAATAAAATGTTTTCCACAGAGCACTTTGAGATGGCCTCAGTACAAACTGAAAGTAGTATCTACGCTTGACTGAACTGTGCTGTTTTCTTAATGTTGTCTTTTTGGGGAATATATATGGTTGTGGTGGACTGTATGGACAGTAACTACTTATCCAACTTACAGCCTTAAAGTTTTTAATAGCCTGTCACCAAGAAGTACCCACATTTGATTCTCTAACGTAAGCAAATAAGGTCTTTTCACTGACCGCTCCTATCATCAGGAAATGGCTATGAGTATTAGTAAAGGGACCGTGTTAACTGTTTAGGGGAAAAAGTACATCATTAGTAGCTTTCTGACAGTTCAAGTAAAGATAGTGAGGTGAGTTTACTGAGAACACTTAACTAAGCTTGACTGGTATTGACACACACAGCTGTTACAACCTTCTGAAAATCAAGCTATCTTTCTGAGTATGCCATTAAGTAAACCTCACTCATTTCTAGTTGAAGAAAGACTCCTTGGCAGGTGCTCTCACAATCTTGCCAGCTGTTCTCATGTTAAAAAAACCCCAACAAACCAAACAGCAAAACCACCCCCAAAAATCTTTCGTGGATTTCATTCAAAGACTTATGGTCCAATTATTGTTTCCTGATATATTATTTCCTTCATCCTCCACATGATCACCTTCCTTTCTTTGTTTAAATGAGCAAGAACAATCATGTTAAGTTTTAAAATAAGCCTTTTCAGATGAAAACTAGGCCAGCACATTACAGGCTGCAGGGCGAACAGCCCTGACTAGGAATAGTTTATAGGCCTTCAGGCTTACATATTTAAACTGTGCCTCTCCCTAGCACTTGCAGTTCATACTTGAAGGCAGGGTATTGCTTACACTTACTGTGATAAAGAGGAAAGACACTCGGAGAACCTGGAAGCTGAGATATCCAAAGGAAGAGTAAAGGTAAGTAGGTTTCTGAGCCTCTGAAACCCACAGAGTTTGGATCTGGCACATCCATCCAACATGCTCATACCTTTATGTTCTGCTAATATATTGCAGGACACGGGGCTGTGCTGAAAGATGCGAGCTGCACTAGTTTTACAGAGAGCTGCAGAAGCAAGGACTACTGTGTCATTCAGCTCCAGAGAAAGACTCACCTTCCCAGAAGAAAAAAAGTGGAACTCGAGGGTTTAAAAGTCAGAGGAGTTCAAATTATACATACCGTAACAAATGTTGTGCAAAAAGGGGTATCTCATGCAAAGGGCATCTGTGCTGTAATCCCAGCAACTTAGAGCACCTTTGGCTTCTTGACTGACAAAGGCCCCTTCCCCTTTTGCTATCACCCACCCTGTAGCTGGCAGAGTCCCACTCGTGAACACCACACAAGGACCTTGTCTGCATCAGTTTCATTTCGCATTCACAGCATCACCAAGTTTTACTGATGTCTATGCTCAAGCTCTCCTGCAATCTTTCAGAGAGTTCTGATAAGCCTGAGTCTTTAGAATTTCTGCAACAAGCCCAAATGCATTGAATATGCAGCTATAGGCATTAAGACTCTGGCATTTGCTACAATAAATAACATCAGAAGTTCTAGCTGATAGAACAAGGAGGAAACAGGAAAACATTGTGGTTTAGGTTACTTTTCCACAGTAAGAGGAAGTTTGGAAAGAGAGAATCCCAAAAGATAAAGTTCAGTGATTTTTCATTTTTAAGGCACAAGAGCACAGGTTTACGTAGCAAAACAAAAGCAGATTATTGGACAGACTTCATGTATGGAAGGGGAAAGCCAACACTGCAGAATGCTCTTTTCAACCATTACAAGAAACATGAGCTACCCATACTGTGTAATTTTGATATGGCAATAGAAGAACTTTGTGGTTATTAATAGATAGCTTTATTATAATACAGTCTTTTCCAGTCAATTTAGCAACACGGTGATTACAGGTTGCTTAAAGCCTCCCACTTCATTTTTTGTTTCTCAAAAAGCTGTTACAGTGGAAAGACTTCAAGCAGTTGAGGCACAATAGGTTCGGATGTCAATTCAAGTTTAAGAGAAAAGTAAGTGTGACAAGTTAGTAAGCAAGCTTACTGCAAGAGTGCAAATGTAACCGTGCTTTCATATTTATAAATTATTGCATGTATTTTTTAAAAAATCAAACAGTTCAAGAGTGGTATCACAGTGCTATTGTCTGCCTGAACACTCATAGAACACATGTTTTGAGTTCAAGAACTCAGTAACAATGCTTTTTATTTTAAATAATGTGTTTTAAGAACATGTGGATCTGCTGGAACAGATGGATCTCTTACTTAATTTTGACATTGTCAATGTCCGTATCTCCTGAAACATGCATTCAAAGCCTGTACTTGATTTCTTTAAAATAGATACAGATTTCATAGCGAATCTAACAGTATTCAAGTTCAATGAAGATAAATAAAGCCAATGAAGCTGGGCAGTCTCAGCCACATCCAACGCTGGTAAGTATGCCGATTAGATACAGTCTGCATTTTGTACTGCAACTGTAAAGTGTTCCAATGTTTTTATTTCTAATCACCAATTTTCTTGCCCTTTAAAACATTAAAGATATCTTCTAGTGACTTGTATACACACTGAAGGAATTCTGTACCATTCCTAGTTGGGTAAGAGGAAACATTACAACCTATCCAATTGTCATGTACCTGATAGCCTACTCCAAGGCCATCAGACACCACTGGGCCAAACCCTCCTAACTGCACAGCTGGGCTCATCAATGTGCTTGTAGAAATGATGTTGTGATTAAGCTGAGCATAGGCTTGGTCTTGATACAAATCTGGCAGTGCGATACCTTTGGATAAGGCTAAATAACGCAAGCCAAAGAGATGTCGGTCAAATCCCTGACCTGTTAAAAAAAAAAAAAAACAACCACCAAGTATTAGAGAGATGACTAACTTTTGTGAGGAGTAAATTACTTAATTTTGTCATCACATTGTTTTTCAGCCACAAAAGAGGAGGTCTATTGAACTGGGGTTTAGTTTCTTATTAGCAGGAATTATTTTTCAGAACCCAGACATTCCACCCTTTTAATGTGCATATCCTAGGCAATGAGGGCTTGCTGGTTTACTGCTAGCCTCAGCCAGGAATCACAATAGTAAACAAAAGTGCAATGTTAACAGACAATTTTAATAATACATCACATTCTTTGATTAACTACTTCTCTGAACATATCCAAGTTGTTTAAAACAGAGAAAGGCTTTCCTAAAATTTATGAATCCAAAGAAGGGGAGGATCTTGTAATCTTGCATCAACAAAAGAAGGCAAATTTGAGACTCTATGGGGTAACGTTCAACAGTCAATTTTACTGAAACAATACAAGTTATGCTTCAGGGACGGACAATCCGAAAGAAAACATTTAGAAAAATACCAGGAGTAGCACAGCCAAAGAATCAATTTGATTTGGAAGCTGTTAAAGCCTCTATTCCCTCCAGGGATAATACAGTAACTCCTCAGACATAAAGCAAAAGTTCTTGGTTGCCTTGGGAAGTACAACACGCACAAAGTATTTATCAAATCTTCAAACAGCCCAGACGCTGTAAGGACAAAAACTAAAGTACAAAAAATTCTCAACACATTAACAGTGAAGCGGGAAGCACAGAGGCATTCTCCTCCACCAAGAAACAAGTCTTAGAGAACGCATTTTAAACTGCAGCCTTCTGCTACTGTTTTTGTCAGGTTTACATTAACATTAGACCTCCATCAAAATTAAATTATTTAGTTACGAAGTAAATGTTTACAGCAACCTTAATAGACGTTTTAGTGCAAAAGCAAAAGGGTTTGATATATTCCTACTTACCCATAGCAGCTTCTTTTGTCAAACGGCCATGGTATTTTGAGCACTCCACTATCAGCTTCTGAAGCTCTTCTGTGCTATGTTTGGACAGTTCTCTCACAAAAGCTTCTGAACATTTCTTTGTATGGACAGAGGCAGGACGTATGGCTTCTGTACGACCATGTCTGAAAGCTGCAGTACTGCAAGACTCATATGTAGCAACAGTCTGATTGTACTGTCGAAGGAAAGCCATCTGGAAGGCAAGCTGAGCCACAGCATCTGGGCTTACCTTCTTCTGCTTTAGAAGGTCCTTGCCCCCTTCATGGAACTGAATCAGATTCAGAGACAATGCTTCTACATTGGCATCAAATTTCTGTTTGGCTTTGGTAATGCCTGCTTTTAAGGCATCATTCAGCTTAAAGTCAAGTTTCCGCACTGCTCTAGAAGAGTCTACCGAAGCAGGCTGGGACTGGGGGCTGATGGCCGGTGCCTTGGTGCTATCTTTAAAAACCTCATTCTGGAACCTGAGCACAGCCACACCATCTCCCCAGGAATGTTCAAAATTAACTCCTGCAGTACCATCCTTAGTTATGATAAGATTAAAGGATTTGTCATACCAGCGATTAGCACCATCTCCATGCAACATAGTGTGGGACACGTGCACAAAGTCTTTAACAGGAAAATCATCTAAACTTAAACAAAACACAGCAGAGTCTACTTTTTTAAGAGCTTCTTCATTGCCATTATCCAGTAGATTATTTCTCAGCAATGCCCATGTATCTCTGTTTTCACCGGAGAGGTAGCCAAGAGGGAAGGCCGGGGCTGGACTGTTGTCACTGAGGATGTATTTCAAGTGTGCTTGTATTTCTGAAGGTTTCAGCATATTTCCATCTCTATCAATAACATCAAATACATAAAAATTCCCATTTCTCAGTACTAGTAAGTGTTTTGCCGTTTCATCTGTATAAAGTTCATCTCTGTTGAGCTTAGGCAGCCGCGTAGAATTAAAAAGCCTGAAGTACTGAGACATATCTAGAGGGTATGCATTGACCATGTAGGCACCAAACCAAGAAAGTGAAGGCGGCACAAATCGGATAATTTTTTTAAAGATCTGAGTGTCACTTTTTTCTGGATTGAGGTGAAAAACCTCTGGTTCAAGATAACCAGCCCTAAAGGTCTTCATAAAACGTACAGCAGAAACAGTCATGTTCGTAGCTCGTATGAGCTGATCATTATATTCAGATTTT